TATATATATATATATATATATATATATATATATATATATATATATATATATATATATATATATATATATATATATATATATATATATATATATATATATATATATATATATATATATATATATATATATATATATATATATATATATATATATATATATATATATATATATATATATATATATATATATATATATATATATATATATATATATATATATATATATATATATATATATATATATATATATATATATATATATATATATATATATATATATATATATATATATATATATATATATATATATATATATATATATATATATATATATATATATATATATATATATATATATATATATATATATATATATATATATATATATATATATATATATATATATATATATATATATATATATATATATATATATATATATATATATATATATATATATATATATATATATATATATATATATATATATATATATATATATAATATAAAGGATTAAAATATTACAAAACATATTATTTTCTTGCCTACATAAATTTAAAAACCACCGCTTTTATGCCTTCTTCATCTCAGGAGGCTTTTTCAGTTCATTCATAACAATTTGCTTTTGTATAATGTTATTATTATTAGCAGTATTATTTATTATATCCATATTTATATTTGTTTTATTAAAAACAAGCTTAGATTTGCCCACCTGCAGGTTTTAGACCATATGGGGCACAGCATGTGTTTTAGGATATAACTCAGGTTTTTGAACACACTTCGTTATTGTTGTTCATTTATTCGTTTGCTGGGAATTAGAACTGAATTTAGAAATAGTTTTGAAACAAATCTTTACGCTTAACAAATGGAATTTATTATTTATAGGCTAATTGATGTCTGTGCGTAAAGATTTCCCTATCCACGAGAGCGAAAGTGAAAGTAGATCATTTATCTGTCATTCTCGCGCGGTAGATGCTTTATTTAACCGTTTTCTTACTAGTAAAATGTTCAGTTTTTCCACTTACACTTACTTTACGTCCTGTAAATAGCGAATGCGCTTATGGCGCGACGCAAGGCTCTTAAATGGAATGGGAAATGAGACTCTAATTGGTTTATTCTCAAAACACACCTATAACTCATTAAGAAAATAAACTCAACCCTTTTAGACCAGCGTATTTTTCCGTCCTTAAATTAGCAAAAATGTGTTCTGACATGCCCTGAAAGCGTTTGCGCCCTGCGTTTTGCGCTCTGCGCATGGACCGTCAAAATAGAGGCCTATGTGTTTGGTATTTACAGATATAATCTGTCATTATTTTGATTGTGAACTTTTTTTATTTTTATTTTAACATCACTAAAGACCGATGTTGTTAAAGCATGGTATGTGCAAAAAAAGTTAGTTTGTCCAACAATTCAGTTGTGGTTTATGTCAACATTCAGGATACACATGCCTGAATGTTTCAGCAACACTCATGATTTTCCCCATGATTATTTCTTGTATCAGATTATTCTCATTACACTGCAAGTTTGATTAGGTGGAGTTCTTTATACAGTATAAACAGTCATTACAGAGCAGAAACAATAACTATAAACACGACACAGATTTTATTGAAGACAAATGCACTCAAAAAGTGACTTTTGCTGCTTGTTCAAACTACTTATTTAAAATTATTTGAATTAAGTCTTTAGTGTTTTGCGACAACTTGATTGTTTAAAAAAATAAGTAGATTAAACATAAAACAATTAAGTTAACTTAATCGATTTGTGTTGGGACAACATGAAGGATGGAAGCCAGCATTTTTACAGCATGTCTGCTTGTTTGGTAATCAAACACTGAATGTTATAGTATTCTGAGTGGATTAACTTGACCAAACAGGTGTTTGTGACTAAACTGTTGCTGTGAGCAGTCATTTCCTGTCTCGGTCTCATCACGCAGGGCTATATTTATCTCATTAACAACTGCTAATGTGCATGTGAAAAAGGAAGCTGTTTATAGAACGTTCAGTGGCACTTTAATCAGTGTAGTAGAAACAAGAGCGCTTTGACGCAATTGTTTGCATGTTTGATTATCGATGTGTCACTTGAAAACACGCAATGTTAGAAAAAAACAGAAGTGGAGAGTGGATACTTGGTGTTGGTTACTAACATAAAAGGAACTAGAGTTCAATACAGATCATTTTGCTGTATAAGTGGTTCAATGTTTATTAAATATAGAAATACTTAACCATAAGGATCTATTTGGTACCTTTAGTTACCATTTGTTAAGAAGTAAGAATTGAAAAGCCAATGTATTTATTAATCTGACTTCATGTTGCCGATGTTTAGTTGATAAACAGTTCAAAAACCAAACAAGTATTTCTTAAAACTATTGAATTGACCTAAACTAACAATATTAATTTTGAAATAGTTCAGTTAATTAATCTTCAAGAGTTCACACTTAGCTGATGATTGTTTATGAAGCTTGTTTGGCATGCTGTCCTGGGGAGAGAGCCTTGAGCTCATAAGATCCTCGAGCTCGGGGCTCCCTCCCATTTGCAAGGCGAGAGGCGAGAACTCCCCTGCTGTAGTAGCTAATGAACAGATAGTGTTTGCTCTTAAGAGATAACTTACTAGGAGCATGTCTATAGTGCCGATTTGGATTAGTCAGTTAACTTAAGTTGCATGTTTTTGGACGGTGGGAGGAAACCGGGGAACCCGGGGGAAATCCACTTGAGCATGGGGAGAACGTCTAAACTCGGCACAGAAACGTTGGCTGGCTTGGTAAGGACTAAAACCAGTGACGTTCTTGCTGTGAGGCAACAGTGCTAACCACTGGGTCGCAGTGCCACCTATCTAGGAAAGGAGGAGGTGTAGGGGTGGAAGGGGGGAATCTTCAAAACAAAGATGGCTGTCATATGGAACTTAGGGTTGTAATGAAGTTCACGGCCCTTTGGCCATCGGGAACAAGGAGGCGGAGAACCGACGTAGTTTAAAATATTTATTTATAATATGAACGGCAGCTCCTCACGGAGACTGCCATCTAAACCAAAACAAACGGACGGCAGCTCCTCAAGGAGACTGCCATCAAACTGAAAGCAAAAGTAAAATGCCCGGGCCCGGTCCTCTCTCGGCTTCCTCTGCCATCGTTCCACCTTTTATCGTCCAGAGCTCCTTCCGTGGGATCCGAAGCAGGTGCGCACCGCAGGTGTATCCACTTACGCGGTGGCCTCACTCCGTTCCCACGGCTCTCGGCCACGCCCCCTCACCACAAGGGTATTTATAGTGGATTAGGAATCGTCTGATTGATGAATCATAAATTGAATCATGCCTTGCCGGATGCAAGCATTCATTAGCACATGATCCTCTCGAAATTTGTTTATAAATAAACTTCACAAAGTAAATGAAAATAAGATGAACTAACACTATATTAAATGTTTGAGGAAATGCTGACCAATGGAAACTTTCATGACTTGTTACAAAATTGCGGGTACATTTCAAGCATTTTACATACATTTTCCTTGAAGTGAAATGATATACAACAAATAAACAGTATAATACAGTAAATACAGTAAACTGAAACCATTGTTAATGTAAAAAATGCTTAAATGTAATAGGAAACATTCAGTTCTGTAAACTGGCTTTATATCATATTGTTTGAACAGCCTAATAAAAATGAACTGCGCTTGACAGCCTGTCTTTCAACTCTGTGTTGTGTTGTTTTGTCCATGCACTGAATGGATTATGTGTGTTTGTGTGTTGCAGGTGATTGACTGGATAGAGAATCACGGGGAGGCTTTCCTCAGCAAACACACTGGTGTGGGCAAATCCCTGCACAGAGCCAGAGCCCTCCAGAAACGCCATGATGACTTTGAGGAGGTGGCACAGGTGAGATCCAAACCCAATTCAACCCAAACCACACCTAGTCAAGACCTTCGTCCACAGGCTGTCAGATCCAAATCCTTATTTAAACCTCCTTCAGGGTGAATCCATCCATGATGCATCAGAATTCGAGTTATCCAAAAATAGGATAAGGGTGCAGCTACACGTCTGCCGGTTCCCGCCTCTGAATGAGTGAGTTTTAGATACGTTTAAACAAAACATCAGCGAAGAAACACCAGCTAGCGTTTCGGAAGTGCTATTCCAGAGCAACACAAAGAGCCCACAGAAGTATGAAGCATGCAAGGCATGCGCCGTGGGTCATGCCAGTCACTCGACACAGAAGTATAAACCAGCCTTTAGGCTTAGTTCATTAATTATTATGGTATGCCACAGTGGAATGAACCACCAACTATTCCGGAATATGCCCTTCCATCTGCAACCCTGCACTGGGAAACACCCATAAACTTTCACATCCACACACGCACCTATACAATAGCCAATTTAGTTCTTCCAGTTCACTTGCGGTGCATGTGTTTGGACTGTGGGGGAAACCGGAGCACTTAAAGGAAACCCACACAAACACAGGGAGAACATGCAAACTCCACATAGAAATGCTAACTACTGAGCCATTGTGCCAAACTTTGTACTTTTTGTCATTGTAAAATAGTATCAGGTGTTAACTGTTATTTGTTAAAGCAATGTTAAATAAAAAGCTGAGCATTAAGCTGAGGAGATTCGGATCACTATACACTAAGCCCTGGCTCTCGCATGCACATTATTCCCCTGAGATGAATAATCCATAATAGTCTGGACGTCAGATCATGAGTCTCAGTGTCACGAAGAGGGCCCGAGACAATCTGACTCCGTTTAAATAAGCATACGGGATTTGTTTTGGCTCAGCCACTATTGGTAACCAGTGAAACTGAAATTCGCGGCTATTGTACATCTGCTTATCAGACATAGAATATACAAGAACAGAAAGATGATATACAGAGAAGATGAGACACGGATGCCTCCAGACACTTTTTGGACATGTTTTATGCGTGATGTACCATGTATATGTGTGTGAGAAAAAAAGGTACACTGCAAACATATTTTACTTATTTAAAGTTTGTCTTGTTTCTAGTCCAAATATCTAAACATTTCTTCAATTAATTTTATAGACAAGCCAAAAATTTGGTTTTGAAATAGTAAGTCCAAATGAACTGATTTTTGTCCTTAAAACAAGCAAAACAATCTGCCATCTGGGTTTTCAAAGTGAAAACAACATTATTCAACCCAGGCTCATTGTGGAAACGTAGTCCCGCGAACGTTTGTGGAGATCGCGAAATACTTCCCGGGAGGTACGTACGGCTGCAGTTTTTGTTTTTGCGAATCGCGCCCGCACTGTTCTCGCGTGAACCCACCAGAGGCCGCTGTCGGACTGACCGGATGATTGACTGCGCGACCGGCCAATCGGCTGACCCGCCCTCCTCCTTCCCTAAACCCAACCAATTTTACCGATTGACCCGCCCGCTCACTTCCATAAACCCGAGCAACAGTTTACAAAAGCCGTCCAAAAAAAGAAAAGCCCTGATTTTTTTTTTTAACCGCGTTTTCGGATTTCACCGCGTTCTCACCCTGTTACGAAACTCGTTCACTTAATTTTTGAGATTCTGTTTTTGTCTTACCTGATTGTTGGAACCGCTCTTCCCCGGACTCGAAACCAATCGCCGTGGTCAACTCCTCTCTGCATCTCAAGCCTGCCGACGTACACGGTGAGCTGACTGGACAAACGTGTTGCAGCGGGAAAGCCCTCCACAAGGAGGTAAGCGGTCGGCCGGCAAGCGTGAAAGGGAACAGCGTCACACCGCCCCGTAGCGTTCGCTTGAAAAAAATAAATGCAGCCATACGTACCTCCCAGGACGTATTCCGCTGTCTCCAGAAACGTCCGCGGGACTACGTTTTCAGAATGAGCTTGGGTTGAAATTATTTTTCCACTAACTCTGTTGGTGGTAACCGAAAAACACCTTTTCTGTTTAGTTTTTTCCATTTACTGTATATACTAAATTGTCGTGCATATGGGGCGAAGCAGTGGCGCAGTAGGTAGTGCTGTTGCCTAACAGCAAGAAGGTCGCTGGGTCGCTGGTTCGATCCTCGGCTCAGTTGGTGTTTCTGTGTGGAGTTTGCATGTTCTCCCTGCGTTCGCATGGGTTTCCTCTGGGTGCTCCGGTTTCTCCCACAGTCCAAAGACATGCGGTACAGGTGAATTGGGTAGGCTAAATTGTCCTTAGTGTTTGTGTGAATGTGTGTGTGGAAGTTTCCCAGAGATGGGTTGCGAAAAAATGTGCTGGATAAGTTGGCGGTTCATTCCACTGTGGCTACCCTGGATTAATAAAGCGACTAAGCTGACAAGAAAATGAATGAATGAATGTTGTGCATATGTTTGTGTAGCATTTAAGATTAAAACTTAATTGAGCCATACTATGCAGTGCGAAACTTTACATTTTTGGAAGTCGACTTTTATGTTATCAAAATTAAGTCGACATTGACACAATCTAAAAGTGAACTACTGTAAATTACCAGTACCAGAAAAATATACTTGAGTACAGTAACGAAGTATTTGTGCTAAGTCACTCCCTATCCCTGGAAAGAAGTTTATTTCGTCTTCATTTCTATCGATTGATCCAATTTCCCTTGTGTTTTCTTTGTGCCTTATCAGAATACATACACTAATGCAGATAAGCTGCTGGAAGCTGCTGAGCAGTTGGCTCAGACGGGCGAGTGTGACCCTGAGGAGATCTACAAGGCAGCGCGACACCTGGAAGTCAGGATCCAGGACTTTGTTAGGCGAGTGGAGCAAAGAAAACTACTGCTGGACATGTCTGTCTCTTTCCACACGCACACTAAAGAGGTAAAAAAAACAAACTAATGCTGTCTTACAACTTTTATTTAGTGGCTAATTCCTATGAATTTCTCAGATTTCTCGCGTAATTAAGGCCCTGTCTACACAAACAGTTTTTTTTTTTACAAACTGCACTTTTTCTATGCAGTTTGACTGTTTGTCCACATAAAAGCACAGTATCAGGTGATGATTTTTAAAAACTCTGGGTATAGTGTGGTCATGTGGACACTAGGCCTGCACAATATATCATTTCAGCATCAATAAAAGCCATTAAGGCATAAGAAAGTTTACCATTTGTACGTTTGACAAATTAACAATGATTCCTTTTATTGAATTGTTTATAAAAAGAACAGTATGCAGTATTATTTTACGTTTGATTATTCAATTACTATATACCTGAATACAATTGGACTGTAAAATATTAATGTTAAATATATAAAAATTCTTAGGTTTGCACCTTTTTCTTTATTGAGTTTACACACACACACACACACACTCATACACTACGGACAATTTAGCCTACCCAATTTACCTGTACCGCAAGTCTTTGGACTGTTGGGGAAACCGGAGCACCCGGAGGAAACCCACACGAAGGCAGGGAGAACAACACAGAAACGCCAACTGAGCCGAGGTTCGAACCAGCGACCTTCTTGCTGTGAGGGGACAGCACTACCTACTGCACCTCGCCTATAAATATTTATATTTATATAAATCACCACAGAGTTATGGGATCAGAAAAATATCAATCTGAAAACATATTTTAGATTTGAAATGAGGAAAATAAATATGCTTTACTGACGTGACCAAAAAAGTTTACAGTACACAACATTCTTTATAGAAATTCTGTAAATTAAACTGCACAACCCAAAAAAAATAATGCTAATCAAAAAGATTAGAGCCGGCTCTCTATAAAACAAAAAAATACTGATTTTGTTTTAATTTTGTATTTGAGGAAAAAGCTTCATTATGGCTCAGAGGTTAGCACTGTCGCCTCACAGCAAGACAGTTGCTGGTTCGAGTCCCAGCTGGGCCAGTTGACGTTACTGAGTTTGCATGTTCTCCCCGTGTTGGTGTGGTTTTCCTCTGGGTGCACCAGTTTCCAAAGATATTATTCTCCACGTATGAGCGGGCACAGCCATTTGAATTGTTTTGGCTTGAGACTTCCAGTCTCGTTCACTTCTATTCATTTTAAGACATTAAAAACAGCTTGTTTCACTGCTGAATGTTGCAAACTGATATTTTCTTATTTAATTTTGTCTGTATAGTCATGCAAACACTTATTTGTACCGCTAGCAGTTTGACCGTTTTCTGCCATTTATTATTCCTAGTCATTTCTCCCATAAGAAACTGAATTGGAAGTTCTAAAACGATCACAAAAACACTTCCGCATTGAAGAATAAGGTCAATAGGTGAATTGGATAAACTAACATAGAGACACACTCCATGTTAGTGTGAATGTGAGAGTGTATGTATGGGCGTTTCCCAGTACTGGGTTTTGGCTGGAAGGGCATCCCCTGCATAAACATATGCTGGAATAGTTGTCGGTTCATTCCACTGTGGCGATCCCTGATAAATAAGGGACAAAGCCAAAGGAAAATGAATGAATGGACACACACACCAGGTGGATTACAGAGGAATGCTGGGAGTTTTTTTTTTTTTTAGCTGAGCAGTGCCAGATGTGCTCGAAGAACATGCTGTTTACCTTTTCAGCTGCCAATCAGGCCCTTGTGTGAAATGTTAAGTGTAATTCATGACACGTTGACGGCGTGTTGCTGCAGCAGTCAATAGCAGGGATTATTAGTGATTTAGCATGCGGTAATGTGACATCACGCAACATCCATCACCTCATGCACCCTGCGCTCCAGAAGTAAATATGCTGAGGGTTAAGTGGCTCAATCTGTCTTGCTGGAGCCGTTTGATTTGGTGCTTTGCTTGTCTAATGGAGCTCTATATCATGAGCTGTAGTTTTGTTGATGTATGGAGACTGGGGGAATCTGCTTTTCTCACGAATGCTCATAAAGTTCTGTTCTTCTGGCTGTACTGTGGAAATTGATATCTTGTAAAATGTACATTTATTTCACAGAAGGGATTATACCAATGTTATCAAAGTGATGAAAAAGTAAAGAGTCAATGGATGTGAAATGTAGCTTTGTCCACTCTTTCCTCCATTTTTCTGATGATGGCGGGTCTGTGAGCTGGTTGTGCTTTCTCAGTTCTTGTTCTTTGATCTTTCAATCCAATAGCAAAAAATCTAGCTCAATTTTAATAATTAGCAAACATATACAAATCTTTTTAAATGTACAGGATCAGTTGAACCAAAGTCCCTTCACTCAGGGAAGTCATTTCACTCAGCGGCCATCTTCGAAACACCTCTCGGGCAGTATTCTCGGCAGTCTGTTTGAAAGGGGAAACATCAAATTTTCCAAAATGGCTTTCCAAGCTTACGATTAAATTTCATATTAGGAATCACCAATAAAATTAAACAACAACTGTGTCTTTAGTTTTATTTCTAAACATCTGTATCACACAAAATCTGCAGAAACTAACATCAGGTCCAAGCCCCTCCCCCAGACTATTGTCAGTCTATAGCGATCATGATTGGCTCCTGTACCAGAAGGCGGGCTTTTTTGACCATATAGCGATCGATAATTGGCTCCTGTACTAGTAGGCGGGGTTTTATTCACTATATTGGCAGTTACACTATTCCTCATTCAAAAAGATACGAGTGACATGTCTTGTGAATTCTATAGTCTTTGGATGAACACACTAGGCTACTCTGTGAATTGACTAGTGAAATTATAGACTGAATTTAAATCTTTTATTTCAGATCAACTCCTATATAGGCTGTATTATAGGCCTTTATTCTGTTAAATGGTTTTAAAATGTATAGTTGAAGTCAAAATTATTCATCCTGCTGTGAATATTGTTCTTTTTTAAGTATTAGCCAAATGATGTTTAACAGGGCATGGAATTGTTCCCAGTATTTCCTCTATTCATTTCTTCTGGGAAAAAATCTCATTTGTTTTATTTTGGCTGGAATAAAAAAATAACAGAATAGAATAGAAAAACGTTCATAATTTTGTCTGTCATTTGTGATTTGACATATTTACATCTTTTAAATATATCACTATGGATCACAAAGCCAGTCAAGTTTTGCAAATGAATATTTATACTGAATAAATAAGCTTTCCGTTGTATTGTTTGTGTAATGTTGGAGAGGACACTATTTGGCAGAGATACAAATAGAAAATTTAGATACAATTTAAAAATCTAGAATCATTTTGTTTTCATTTGCTTTTTTGTTGTACATTTTAACTGTCTGCTTTCCTGTTTATAATTGATCAGGTTGGAGTTTAGTGTATTGTCAAAAAACCTATCTGTATATGTATACTACCTGACAAAAGTCTTGTCGCCTATTCAAGTTTTAGGAACAACAAATAATAAGTTGACTTCTAGTTGCTCATTTGGTATCAGAAATGGCTTAAATGAAAGGCGAAGTCGCTTATTTTACCAAAATAAAATATGATCATGCTTTGATTTTTTTATTTAATTAGGACAGTAAGGTCTGACTTTGCTTAGACAAAAGTCTTGTCACTTACCGAAATAATGTACAGTATAGAATATAAAGTCATGCTGCAGTGGAAAAAGAATGAATATTGTGTCTGACTCCCATGAGTTTGGAGGACTGCATCCATACATCTCTGCAGTCACTCAAATCACTTATTAATAAAGTCATCTGGAATGACAAAGAAAGCGTTCTTGCAGAACTAGGGTTAGGGTTGCACACCCCCATACTGAGTGTAACCCCAAACCATGATTTTTCATTCACCAAACTTGACTGATTTCTCCAAGAACCTTGGGTTCATGCAGGTTCCAATTGGTCTTCTGCAGTATTTGTGATGATTGGACGATTCAGCAGAAAATCTACCTTCTGCCACTTTTCCAAATGATCATTTAAAAGTCAAGTTATTATTTGTTGCTTATACAACAAGACTTTTGTTAGGTAGTGTAAGATCATTTCAGGTTGACACTGAGGACCAAATGTAACTTGAAATACGACATGATTATACTCAATGAAATTGCTTCCCAGTTAAACAAGATGGTGTTGGCATCATTCGCCAACTAAGGTCGCAAGATTGGTGTTACAAACATAGCTCAGCAGTTTGATGTTTTCCGAAATCATAGTTCCGATAAAATTTTCACGTGTCAAAACTATGCAGCAAGCCATATAGGAGCCTGAGAGTTGCTTCCTGATCTGTTTTTATGATTGATCAGGTTGGAGTTTAGTGTATAGTCAAAAAACCTATCTGTATATGTATACTACCTGACAAAAGTCTTGTCGCCTATTCAAGTTTTAGGAACAACAAATGATAAGTTGACTTCTAGTTGCTCATTTGGTATCAGAAGTGGCTTATATGAAAGGTCAAGTCGCTTATTTTACCAAAATAAAATATGATCATGCTTTGATTTTGTTTATTTAATTAGGACAGTAAGGTCTGACTTTGCTTAGACAAAAGTCTTGTCACTTACAGAAATAATGTACAGTATAGAATATAAAGTCATGCTGCAGAGGAAAAAGAATGAATTTTGTGTATGACTCCCATAAACTTGGAGGACTGCATCCATACATCTCTGCAGTCACTCAAATCACTTATTAATAAAGTCATCTAGAATGGCAAAGAAAGTGTTAGGGTTAGGGTTGCACACCCCCATACTGAGTGTAACCCCAAACCATGATTTTTCATTCACCAAACTTGATTGATTTCTCTAAAAATTTCTCCTTGGGTTCATGCAGGTAAGATCATTTCAGGTTGACACTGAGGACCAAATGTAACTTGAAATACGACATGATTATACTCAATGAAATTGCTTCTCAGTTAAACAAGATGGTGTTGGCATCATTCGCCAACTAAGGTCGCAAGATTGGTGTTACAAACATAGCTCAGCAGTTTGATGTTTTCCGAAATCATAGTTCCAATAAAATTTTCACATGTCAAAACTTTGCAGCA